ATCCAGCTCTCTGCTATGGCCTGGGAAAGCAGTAGAAGATGGCCCAAGCCTTGGGCCCCTGCACCCACTTGGGAGACCTGGAAGAAGCTCCTGGCTCCTGGCTTCAGATTGGTGTAGCTCCGGCCTTTGAGACCATATGGGGAGTGAACCATCGGATGGAAGGCTTCTCTCTCTGCCTCTCCTCTCTCTGTGTTAACTCTGACTTTCAAATAAATAATCTTTTAAAAAAATAGATACGGTTTGGAGGCAGGCACTGTGGTGCCATGGATGGAGCTACTGCTTGGGACACTTATACCACATATCAAAACATTCAACAAAAACTGATCACAATAAACACAGGTAATATAATCATAACCAAAGTGCTTGAGAGGGCTGGCACTGTGGTGCATCAGGTTAAGCCATCATCTGCAATGCTGGCATCCCATATGAGCACCAGATCCCAGCTGCTCTATTTTCCATGCAAATCCCTGTATTGTGTCTGGGAAACCAATGGAAGATGGCCCAAGTCATTAGGCCCCTGCACTCACATGGGAGAAAAGGATTGAATTTTGGGCTCCTGGCTTTGGCCTGGCTCAGCCCTAGCCACTGTGGCCATCTGGAGAATGAACCAGCAGATGGAAGATGTCTCTCTGTCTCTCTCCCTCCTACCACCCCCGCCTCTTGCTTGCTCTGTAACTCTGCCTTTCAAATAAATAAATAATTAAAAAAAAAAAAGAGCTTGAGGAACATTAAGAGGCGGGTCAGGATTTAGGATTAAGGCAATTTGTACTAAAAATGGAGGATTTCATGGAGGAGTTTGAAAGGACCTATGAAACTTGGCAGCTTGGAAAAGACAGAGATGCCAGGCCAAAGCTAATACACATGTGCCTGGTTGAATTTTCATTAGGACCCAATAGTCCATAATGGTAAGAAAAGTAATAGAATAAAATTAGACCAGAGTTAATTATTGAACCTAGAAGAAAATGCTTAAGGATAGGAAATACTTAATTTTCCATAAACTTTCTCTTTAGCAGTTTGTAGTAATGAGCCTCTCTTTGAAAGGGAAAAAAAATCTGGTAACAGAATTCTGCTTAATTATAATAACTACGAGTTGACATAGTGCAAATGCTTAGGCTATCTTTTGCTGCTTTCCCAGGTAATTGCAAAGAGCTGGATCGGAAGTGGAGCTGCGCCCATATGGGATGCTGGCACTACAGGCAGTGGCTTCACCCGCTACACCACAGTGCTGACCCCTAAATGTTTCTTCCGTGTACTTTTTTTCTACTCATTGTGTAGGTCAGCAGATTAACACTATACTAAACATAGTTCTGATAATTGAGAAAGAAATTCCTGCCTCCTTCACTAAACATTTATTGAACACCTTTCGTTAGGTTTTAAGATTTTAGGGTTCAGGCCGGCGCCGCGGCTCAATAGGCTAATCCTCCACCTGCAGCGCCGGCACCTTGGGTTCTAGTCCCGGTCCGGGCGCCGGATTCTGTCCCGGTTGCCCCTCTTCCAGGCCAGCTCTCTGCTGTGGCCCAGGAGGGCAGTGGAGGATGGCCCAAGTGCTTGGGCCCTGCACCCCATGGGAGACCAGGAACTCCTGCCATCGGATCAGCGCGGTGCACCGGCCGCGGCGGCCATTGGAGGGTGAACCAACAGCAAAGGAAGACCTTTCTTTCTGTCTCTCTCTCTCTCACTGTCCACTCTGCCTGTCAAAAAATAAAATAAAAAAAGATTTTAGGGTTCAAAGGAGGTGAGGAGGCAGCCAGTTAAAGTAGGAAGGCTGTTTCAAGGGGGATGCAAAGGGGGTAAAGTGAGTGGGGGTTCAGCCTGCCCAGACAGAGGGCAGGGAGTTTGAAGCCAGGCGTCATTTCCTTTGGGCGGAAAGTTGCTTGTTGGGGGAGGTGCAGACAGCGATTAAGCGGGTGGAGGACATGCAGAAAGGCTCCTTAGCAGTCTGGAATGTCCCAGCTGAGGGGCCTTCTTGAGCAATGAGCATTCCACTAGCCTTTACAATATCTACCTGCACACGGTTTCATCAGGTTTGGAGGTTTGGGCTCAGTGGCCTAGCAGGTTATATCACCTATTAGTTTTGGCATTTTCACCAGCTGGAAGTACAAGAATGAGTAAAACTAGTCCTGTCTGTGAGGTCTCACTGACAGTTTGGTGGGGGAAGAACACCTTACAGATCATTACTGTAGGGTTAAGATGGAAGGCCCTGAAGGCAGAGGGACCAGGAGCCTAGTCTGGGCTTTACCACTTATGCTAATTGCCCAACTTCTCTCAGTCTTGCGGAAGCCGTCAAGCAGCACATCGCTGGCGTGTTGGGAGAGTCAGACGTGAAAGTGCCTGTGACTCGGCTGAGCACTGCCTGCCTTTAGCAAGCACTCAGGAAACGGTAGGCATCACCGTATGTGCAAATACTCTGTGACAGGTGTGGCTGGTATTTGCTTCCTTTGCAATGTCTTCATGATAAGCAACCCATGACTGGTCAACCTTAACAGTTTATGGTGACCGTGTTTGCTCTTGATAAGTTTGGAGGAAAATCTCATCTTTTTACCCTGGAGTTGGGACTTGTTGTCAGTTAAAGGTCCCAATCTCATGAAATGGCTGAACACCTTAACCAGATCCCCCAGACCTAGGGCCAGCTTTCCTGGGTACTCACCCTTCTTCTAACAGATCTGGTAAGGAAGAAGAACTGAAAACAGGGGCTAATGGGTTTGCTGATAACTAAGGACTCCAGTTCCCTTCTCAGATTCATCTTTGCCTTCTCAGACAAAAACACATGCTTGCTACTGTCAAGAAGGCCGTGGCGTGAATGCCTTTTCTCAAAACCCACTGAGTCAGTAGATCTTCCTGAGCTCCGCCCTTTGCCAGGTGCTGTGCTAGGCTCTGGGGGTATGAAGGTCAGCACAGCAACAGCCTGGTGGGGGCAGAGACTCCTCAGATAAGCATGCAGATGCTCGATTACACCTAAGAGCTCTCTGAGTGAAGAGCAGAGCGCAGGGACCCTGATACAGACTGGAGCATAGGTCTGTGGGGGTCAGGGAAGAGTCACTTAGGGAAGTACCGTCGAAAATACCTTTCACCCTGCAGAGGAGTTGGTGGTTTTCTGACTACTCCCAAACCACCCACAGCTCAGGAAATCGAAGTTTAGTCAAATCAATTGTTTGATTACTTTATGACAAATGCTAAATTGATTTATTCAATCACTCCATTTACTGATAATATTAGATATGACATTTCTGTTTGTAATGCTGTCCCATAAGGACTTTCATTTCGTTAACTGTATTCAAAATAAGATCCTTCACCTCTGAAATGATTTTATCCTTATTAACACACACACACACACACACACATTATATGCACAGATCAAGTGTTGGGCAAAATTTATAAGATGGGAGCATATCCTAGATAAGTTTTTTGTTCCTTGTCTGGGAGAAATGTTTTGCTGTCAAAGGCTATTTCATGTGTAAACAAGGCTTTTCTCCTGGTCTGCCTTTGATTTTGGGGAGATCACAGAAAGGCTTATAACATAACCAATACTACATGAAAAAAAGCATTTCAGATTGTCTCAGAAATGTAGTATATCTCCCAAAGAAGGAAGAAAATGATTGTTAAGAGTATCTAACCATTTCGCCTTTGGATTAGAACATTTATAAGAGTATCCACATTCATTTGTTTTAGCCTCAATAAAAGCTTGATTAAAAAAAAAAGACTTGTCTAGCTATTACAAGTAGAATCTGTTCAAATTGATTGGGTGCTCTTCAGTAATGTCTACACTGTGATCATTTCTTCCCTTTTACATTTTTCTCTAGCAATCAGCGAATAACGTATTCATCAAACATAAGAGAGGGCCCGAACAGAACTGAATTTCTCTCTTGCTGGGGCTGACAACTGAGGACTTCTTTAGCCAGTTGGATTAGAACACGGCAGTGAGATCAGGGCAAGAAGCTCAGCCATGTTGTCCTGATATTCATCACTAGAAATGAACTCATCTATGGAACCATTTGATGCAAAATAAGTAAACTCTTTTAGAACATCATCATAGGATCAGAATGTCCTACTTTGGCAAGGAAGGAATAAGCACAGAGTAGCTTTACTGTAACAGCAGGAAACCATTATTTTTTTGTTCACAGTGGTACTTCTCAATTGATGTTTTTCTCTTAGGATTAAACGTAGATCCAAAAATGTTGTTGAAACTAACTATGAATAATCACATAATCAAATAAGCCACTGATCATTAAATTATCTGGAAACTTAAGAAAGTGCTACAATTCAACAGTCATATGGTAGTCATGTGAATTATTTCATAATGCATCCTAACAAAAGGTTAATCAATAAGATCAAAATAACAATATCATATTTATATTTTAATCTTTTTTTATTTTTTTTTAATTAATTTATTTTTTTGACAGGCAGAGTAGACAGTGAGAGAGAGACAGAGAGAAAGGTCTTCCTTTGCCGTTGGTTCACCCTCCAATGGCTGCCGCGGCCAGCGCGCTGCTGCCGGCGCACCGCGCTGAACCGTAAGCAGGAGCCAGGTGCTTCTCCTGGTCTCCCATGGGGTGCAGGGCCCAAGCACTTGGGCCATCCTCCACTGTACTCCCTGGCCACAGCAGAGAGCTGGCCTGGAAGAGGGGCAACTGGGACAGAATCCGGCGCCCCGACCCAGTGTGCCGGCGGAAGATTAGCCTATTGAGCTGCGGCACTGGCCTATTTTTATTTTTTGACAGGCAGAGTTAGACAGTGAGAGAGAGAGAGAGAGAGAGAAAGGTCTTCCCGCTGTTGGTTCACCGCCCAAGTGGCTGCTACAGCCGGCACGCTGGGGCCGGCACGCTGGGGCCAGCGCGCTGTGCCTATCAGAAGCCAGGAACCTGGACCATCCTCCACTGCCCTCCCGGGCCACAGCAGAGAGCTGGCCTGGAAGAGGGGCAACCGGGACAGAATCCCGCGCCCCGACAGGGACTAGAACCCGGTGTGCTGGCGCCGCAGGCGGAGGATTAGCCTAGTGAGCCGCGGCATCGGCCACAATATCACATTCATTGAACTCTTTCTATAAGCCAGGTACCGCAATAGGTGCTTGCATATGTTGTGTATGTCTTTCAATAAATCTACAATGGACTAGTCCGACTTTCTTCCCAGATCACAAATGAAAAGACAGGACTTGATCATGAATAAAAATGTAAGTTACTTTGGACTAACAAACTTGTATTTGACATTAATGCCCACAAGTAGTAAACAGGATATAGATATAAATACAGGAAACTGGAGAACGGTGAAGATAAAAACGAAATTATTGTAATAGATGAATATGCCTCAGATGCTGAGTATATGATAGCAAAAAAAAAAAAATTGTTTGTTTTCCTTCTAAACTCTCACAGCAAACGCAGTATTCTACGCGGGCACCAGATGGGGGGTTTTTCCCATGCCAAGCATTCTTCTACAGCATTCCTCTATCATCGTCTTTCTCAGTTTCCCCATTCTGTCTTTCCCGACCCCGCGTCCACATGTTACCTATTGGGCTTTAAATCACCGGTTCCCATCTCCGCCCCTCGCGTTCCACAGAAAAACAGTTTACTTACTAACTCATGGAATTTTTATGGAGAACGGATTCGGGAACGACCCGAGAGATGATACACGCAGCAGTAAAAGCGTGCAGAACGCGGCGCGCCAGAATTCCGTGACCTTTGCGCCACCACCTCAAGGCCGCCATGTGGTCCGTGACCCGGAAGTCCTCGGGTGTTTAGGTTGGCCACTAGTCTCCTCCCACCAAAGTGGACTCGTTCTGACCAGTACGCTGCAGGTATGATCTGTACTTTACTGGCAGATCGCTGTGTTTGGTTGTCCCTAGAAATCAATCCAAATGAAGGGGTTAGGAGAGAGGAGGTGGGTTTGACGCGCGCCTCAGAGCCAGCAGCAAAGGGAGCGGGCGCCTGAGGCGGGCGCTGCAAGGAGGGTGGGGACGGCCCCGTGATGGCGGCGGCCTCCGCGGACTCCGGCTCCAGTGAGGTCGGAGGCACCCAGCAGATCATAGTCTTGAGGTGAACTGAATACGTGGCCTAGGTGGCACCCTGCATGGGCAGGCCTGATGATAATAATGCCAATAGACTTTGCCAGACTCCAGTCCCATGATCCTAAGCTACTCTGACTTCGTACACTTTCAAAGAGATTAATGACTGGAAATTGTCTCGGATGCCATGCTTCCAAACCAGCTTGCGGAGAAGGCAGTGGACAATGGTCCAAGTGCTTGGGCCCCTGCCCCCCACTTGGGAGACCCAGATGGAGTTCCAGGTTCCTGGCTTTAGCCTGGCCTTGGTACTAGCTGTAGCAGCCATCTGAGAAGGGAACTGGAAGATGAAAGATCTCTTCTCTGTCTCTACTTCTGTCTCTGTTGTCTGCCTTCCAAATAAATACATCTTAAAAAAAAAAAAGCAACCAGCTCTTTGAGGATGGATATCACATTCGGAAGAAGTTCCGGAGCGCTCTCCTGTTCAATCTTCCATCTCAAACCTCAGCAGAGGCACTCCTGTATGTGAATGTGGTTGCGTTCACAGATTCAGTACAGTGGCTAGGAGAGCCAGCAGAGTCCCCTGTAACACTGAAGCAACAAAACCCTAGGACTTCAGAGCTGTCAACTTTATACATTATCAAGTCACTCACATTTGTTGCCTGATGTCTGGCTTCAAAAACCCTAACTTTGTGGTTACCTCTTTTTAAGATTTATTTATATTTTTGAAAGGCAGAGTTACAGAGAGGTAGAGAGAGAAAGAGAGGTCTTCCATCTGCTGTTTCACTCCCCAGATGGCCACAAACAGCAAGAGCTGGGCTGATCAGGAGCCAGGAGCTTCTTCCAGATCTCCTACTTGGGTGCAGGGGCCCAAGCACTTGGACCATCTTCTGCTGCTTTCCCAGCTGCATTAACAGGGAACTGGATGGGAAGTAGAGGAGCTAGGACTGGAACTGGTATCCACTTGAGACACTGGCACTGCAGGCTGCAGCTTTACATGCTATGCCATGATGCGAGCCCCTGTGGTTACCTCTCTAAACATCGCCAGGTAGAGGAATGTACCATCTTCTCACTCAGCTCTACAGTGGAACCCAAGTGTTAGTAAAATGGCGCAGTCTTATCTATGGAGCAATCTACACCCTGACACCATCCTAGGCTCTAGCCCCTACCGCCATTGCTGGAAGCCAGGTGGCCACAGGGACCAACCACCCGTGTCAAGCTCCACCCCCATCCTAATGGAATTCGCTACTCCTGTCTCCCTACCACCCCCTGGAAAAGGGATATTAGGACCCGTTTCCTGCACACGTGCTCTCTTTCTCCATCACCCCTTCCCTCTGGTCTGCTGAGTTTTCTCCAGTAAACCCTTTCCCTTACTCCGGTGTTTGGTGTTTTGTGGTGGCCTTACACCAAGCTCTATGGGTTTTGTTCACTACTGTTTATCCAGAGGCCCAGAATATATAGTAGGCGCTTACTAGATATTTATTAGCTGAACAAAAGCCCTTTTTTTTTTCTTTTTAAATTTGAGAGACAGAAAGAGCACATTGCCATCTGCTGATTCACTCCAAAAATACATACAATGGCAAAGGGGCAAAAGCCAGAAGCCAGAGAGTCAATCGAAGCCTTCCCCCATGGGTGGCAGGAACTCAGTTACTGAAGCCATCACTCCTGACTTCCGGGGTCTGTTATAACAGGAAGTTGGAACCAGGAGCTAGAGTCAAGTATGGAAGCTAAGCATTCCAATATAAGACCTAGTGTCTTAACTGCTACCCTAAACAACCCACCCCAAATATCCATTTTTAACAACTATAGTTTTTAGTGTGTTCTGTCTTACACTGAGCTAAATTCTGCTTCTCTTACATTCTTATTTTTACCCTCTGGTCTGATAATAAGAGTCCCTTCCTCTTCCAGCAGCCCCTGGGCATTTGAAAAATGTAACCCTGCTCTCTTTTCCAGAACAAGCAGCCTTCACCGGTTCATTCAATGTTCCTCGCATGATGTAGTTTGAAGCTTTTCCTCCATCCTGTCTCCTCTCTTCTGGACATAGTCCAGTTTATCATTGTTCCTCGTAAGTTGTAATTCCTAAAAAAGAACACAATAGCCCCCCAGGTGCAGTCTGACCAGTTCAAGTAGAGCTGGACAAACACTCTCTTGATTCTATTAATACAGCCCAAGGACAAATTTACTTTTTTTTTTTAACTGTAACTTCCCTTTGTTAAGTCACATTGAGATCCTGGTGGGGAGAAAGCTTGCATTTGGGTAGAAATTTAGCATATTTAAATGACAGAAAAGGTCACTGCAGTGTGCTAATCTAGGGGCCCTTGGTGAGTGGAAATGTATATGAAAGGTGGCTGATTGGGTGTTCCTGGGGTACAACTCATTGACTCACTTCCCCTGATGAAAAGACACAGAATAAGCCATTAGTCAATATTTTATATATATATATATATATATATATATGTATACATATCTTCTTTTACAAGATTTATAGATTTATTTGAAAGGCAGAGGGACATAGACACACAGAGACATCTTCCATTCACTGATTCAATCCCCAGTGGCCACAACAGGGCGGGGTGGGGAGTGGGGGAGGAGAAACTATTGTTCCAGGTGGAAGCTGGGAGTCAGAAATTCCATCACGATCATCCAGGTGGATGACAGGGACCCAGACACTTGAGCCATCCTCTCTGCTTTCCCAGGCACATTAGGAGGGGGCTGGATAAGAAGCAAAGCATCTGGGACTCCAACTGGTGCTCAGATATTGGAATGCTGGCATTTTAAGCAGAAGGGGCAGCTTGAACCAACTGTGCTGAAATGCATTTTACCCCCTCTTTTAAATTTGAAAGACAGAGGCACAGAGACAAAGGGAGATCTTCATCTGCTGTTCCACTCCCCAAATGCCTGCAATAGGTGTGGCTAGGCCAGGTCAAAGCCAGGAACTCAATCTGGAGTCTCTTGTGTAGGTGGCAGGGACCCAAGTACTTGAGCCATCACCTGCTGCCTCCCAGATTGCACATTAGCAGGAAGCTGGAATCAGAAGAGGAGCTGGGACTTGAACCCAGGCATTCTTACATGGGAGAGGGACATCCCAAGTTGTGGCTTAAGTGTTGAGCTAAACACCCACACAATATTACATATATCTTTAATGTAGGCTTCCCAAATCCATTTTAGGGCAATAATTCAGTGCCTGTCATTGCTGCCTAAGCACATTATGAGCTAGGAAAACCTGTTGGAGAAGAGTATTTCCTTTGTACTGTAACTGGCATGAAGCTCGGTGTTGCTTAATAAGTGGATTTTGAAATGAAAGAAGACAGGTAATTCTAAAGAACCTTCTGAACACTGCCTTTTAGTGCCATTTTCCAGGTTAGTATGATGGAATTGGATTTATATAGAAATAATTCAATAGCCATTCTTATTTTTTTTTTTTTTGGAACCTTCAAAACTTTGTTTCTTGAATGCAAGCAAAATGAAAGTGTCTTCACCTCAAGATACCTATAGGTAGGTGCTGTTAATATGACTACTCTTCAGTGGTTTTAAAGATTCACCTAAGGTCACCAAACTTTCTTGCTTTGAATAAGTAATTACAGGGGTTACCACACTCGGTTTCAGGGAATCAAGCTTTGGGTTTAAAATGATTTGTCTGATTTTGTGCTCTTAGATAAAAATCTTTGGCGAAGAAAGGATATAGGAAATTAGTCTGAAAGTAGAATCTTTAAAAAGAAATTTTCTTGTATCCTGAGTTTCTTCCACGTTTCTCCTCAGGAGGTAAACTGCTTGTGTTATGTTTCAGTGAATGGCTATTGTGTTGCTTGTAGAGGTGTCAAGATCATTTCCAACTACTTTCTGAAGCCTGGTTCCTGGAGACACACTTGACTTTCGAGGTATCTTCACTGAGATGGTGAGGATGTGTGCATTCATACGTCCTTTCTAAGAACCAGTATAGTGGTCATATAGAGGGTCACTTGCATTTTCCTTAGCAACTTAGACCTTTCTATCCAAGACGTGGTGATTAATATCAAATATGTAAGAACGATGTTAAAATTATTTACAGTACAGTTATTGCTATATACTGTTTACTCCCAGAAAGAATTTGCAGATTAAGGTCTCAGAAATGATTCTTGCCCTCTTATTGCTAACCCTGCTCAGAAGATAGGTAAATGGAAAAGATGCCATAGCATGAAATAAAGTCAAGGTAAAGAAAAGAGCTCTTGAAGTATTATATGTTGTTTACCATTGAACCACGATCTTTTATTCTCTTCCCTCCCCCGCACCCTCACCTGTCTTTCTCAAAGAAAAGTGAGAAGAAAAGAGAAAGGAGTTAGGGCTGTAAGCACAAATGCTTTCCTTTCTTTCCAGTTCCACAAACTTACATGTGAAGAACGGGTTGGGAAGTGGAAATTCTATTTCTTGTAAAGTTCTCCGGCTGTTTTGGGCATTGCTGATGTTTATAACCTTCTCTCACAGATGTTACATTTTATGAAATGTGACTCATTGGGGTGGTACTTGTATCGTTAGATGGAAAGAAATCCCTGAGGCTGGGTGATTACACAAGTCTGCTTTGCTCAAAACCTGAAATATTTGAACAGAATATTTCCTGGGGAAAAAAAAAAGTCAACAAGACTTTGCTGTACTTAAAGGACCAGAAAAACCAATAATTTCAGATTCATTCTTTTCTGTGGGAGGAATAGGAGTGATAGGAGTGTGATGATACTCTTGCTTGGAGAGATTTTGTTTCGTTTGCAGTATGCTTTTAATTTATGTAGGCTTTTTGTTTCAGGTGGACCTTGGTCCCTATCTTTTATCTAATGTGCAACAAAAACTTTTTTTTTTTTTGACAGGCAGAGTTAGACAGTAAGAGAGAGACAGAGAGAAAGGTCTTCCTTTTTTCCGTTGGTTCATCCCCGAAATGGCTGATCTGAAGCCAGGAGCCAGGTGCTTCCTCCTGGTCTCCCAGGCAGGTGCAGGGCCCAAGCAATTGGGCCATCCTTCCTGGGCCACAGCAGAGAGCTGGCCTGGAAGAGGAGCAACTGGGACAGAATCCAGCACACCAATCGGGTCTAGAACCCAGGGTGCTGGCACCGCAGGCAGAGGGTTAGCCAAGTGAGCCACCTGGAGTTCTGTTTTAAATGTCTGCTCTGGGCAAAGCACTGAATTTCAGAAGCATAGAGAGTAATAGAAGAGAGAGAATAGATTGTCCTGCCATCTTTGACCTTCTGAGAAGCAGAATCATGTAGAACTAGAAGCCACCTGTATTTTCCACTGGGACCCTACTGACAGGGTGACTTGTCCAAAGTCACAGATCCAGCAATGTTTAGAACTAAGACTTAGAACATCTAACCTGCGTTCCTCTTTTCTTTCTTTCTTTCTTTCTTTCTTTCTTTCTTTCTTTTCTTTTTTTTTTTTTGACAGGCAGTGGACAGTGAGAGAGAGACCGCGCTGATCCGAAGGCAGGAGCCAGGTGCTTCTCCTGGTCTCCCATGGGGTGCAGGGCCCAAGCACTTGGGCCATCCTCCACTGCCTTCCCGGGCCACAGCAGAGAGCTGGCCTGGAAGAGGGGCAACTGGGACAGAATCCGGCGCCCCGACCGGGATTAGAACCCGGTGTGCCGGCGCCACTAGGTGAAGGATTAGCCTATTGAGCCGCAGTGCCGGCCTCCTCTTTTCTTTCAAAATACTGGGCTACTTAATAATTGTGGGCATAAATGCAGTCAAGTGACATGGCAGGTTGGAACTAGAGTAAGGCCATCGAGGCAAAATCTAAACAGAGCACCATAACCCTCAGTAACCAAAAGTAAGACCAAAAAATCATAATAAACAAAATGTTAATATTTTGTTTTATTATTTTACTATTTGAAAGGCAGAGAGACAGACAGACAAGAGATATCCCATTCCTTATTTCACTCCCCAAATGCCCGGGACTAGGCTAGGCCAAACCTAGGTACCAGAAACTCAAAATGGGTCTCACACATGGGTGACGGGGACCAAATTACCTGAGCCATCACCTGCTGCCTCCTAGGTTACATGTGCGTTAACAGGAAACCAGAATCCAGAACAGAGTTGGGAATTGAACCAAGGTACTCTGATATGGAATGCGTGCATCCCAAGTGGCAACTTAACTGGTAAGACATATACCTATCCCATTCGTCAAATTTAAAAATGAAAACAGGGTCCTACCATTCACTTGCACAATGCAACCTCACTTATCTCACCCATCTCAGCCCTACATCATAACATCTGAGTTTTGGAATAAATCAAGAAGGGAAAGCACTATGGAAAATATTCTCTTACCTGGGGTAATTATAAGTAAATCCTTGAATGTGTAGGGTGATGTCTAGATATTCAGAAATAGATCACAAACCTTTGTCCATTGTGATGTATTGAGATAAACTAGCTCCCATTTGTTTTAAGAAAAAAATTGAGGCTGAAGAGAACTTAGGGGGAAGACTTAAGAGATGTGACTGCAGGTCTCACTAACCTGTAGAGGACACTCTTCCTATAACAAACATGGTTCCCTTCAAGGGCTCTGCTAGGCAGAGGACAAAACAGAGTCTTCAGAACCCCAGGAGGCTTTGTTTAGAGCAAGAAACTGGGTAAAAAATTATTGTCCACTTTTTAATTTTTTTTAATTTTATTTATTTATTTGAGCGGTAGAGTTACAGACAGAGGGAGAGACAGAGAAAGGTTGTCCCTCCATTGGTTCACTCCCCAAATGGCCGCAATAGCCGGAGCTGTACCAATCCGAAGCCAGGAGCCAGGTGCTTCTTCCTGGTGTCCCATGCGGGTACACGGGCCCAAGGACTTGGGCCATCCTCCACTGCTTTCCCAGGTCACAGCCGAGAGCTGGATTGGAAGAGGTGCAGCTGGGACTAGAACTGGTGACCATATGGGATGCTGGCACTGCAGGCAGATTAACCCACTGTGCCACAGGGCCAGCCCCTTTTAATTTTCTTCTCACGTTCATGTCCTATGCCTGAAATGTTAGCGAGGACTTGGACATATACTACTATTTGAAAGTGACTTCAGGGACTGGTGCCGTGGTGTAGTGGGTAAAGCTGCTGCATGGTCCAGATCAACAAGAGAGAACAAAAGAGCATTGGGACTTAACCTGCTATGGAGCAGTATGGGGTATTCATTACCTATGTATCCTCTCTTCATATATCCCTCAGAATCCAGCTATCATAGGCTGGATGGGAGTTGGTTCAGGTTTCAGGCAATCTGGGTCTTCAGAAGTCATCTTTCAGAGACTTTAGCAGCAGAAATCAAAACTAGCCCCAGGAATAGAATAGATCTCAGGCAAATATGGGCCTCTGACACAGTACTAACATAGTTATGACAGGAAGGCCAAGTTAAAAACCGTTCTTACAGACCAATTCCACTGGGCCTAGAAGTGGAGGTGGGAAATGGGGAGCAATGAGGAAGAGTCTAAATGGCTTTCTCTTTCTCTTACCACTCTGAACTTCTTCCTTCTTAGCCATCTTCATTTACATAGAAGAGTGGTTGATTTTTTGTTTTGTTTTGTTTTTACACAACCATGGATAGAACTCTAGAAAAGGAAAGTAGACATCCTCTAAACTCAACATCATTGTCAGAAACTCTGCTGGCTTAAGCACTCTTTTTTTTTTTTTTTTTTTTCCTAAGATTTATTTATTTATTTGAAAGTCAGAGTTACACAGAGAGAGAGGGAGAGGCAGAAAGAGAGAGAGGTCTTCCATCCAATTGTTCGCTCCCCATTTGGCCGCAGTGGCCAGAGCTGCATCCAAAGCCAGGAGCCAGGAGCTTCCTCCTGGTCTCCCATGCAGGTGCAGGGGCCCAAGGACTTGGGCCATCTTCTACTGCTTTCCCAGGCCATAGCAGAGAGCTGGATCAGAGGGCATTAACCCACTGTGCCACAGCACTGGCCCCAGCTTAAGCACTCTTGAGGAAGGTCTCCTATACCCCAGTTGCTTAATGATTAAGACCATATGCATTTCCTGTTGGGATAAAAATTTTAATCATATCAGCGTACCAGCTGAATGATTTTTATAAATTCTTTGTTTTTCCTAATCTTTCATTTCCTAATCTGTAAATAGAGAACATGGGCTCAAAAACCTGGTATCCATCATAATAGAATCTTGCCCTTACAGGATGATATTAAAAGCATCCTTAGTGCATCCATCAGTACCTCCTACAGTATTCCCATAGGTCCAATCTCCTTAGTCCTCACCCAATACAATGCATTCTCCATGTCTAGTTTGTTGTTTGGTAGGCTTTTAACTCTGAATTTTGAATACATGTAAGCTCTTGCTTCTCCTAAGCCAAAATTTTCCTGACTATTGTGCCAAAGTTTTTTGCCTCAGTTCCAAGATCAAATCCATGGAGAATAAATGTATTACCTTGTTCTCATCTTCAAGTGTCCGAAGACAGCTATCAAAAGCCTTATGTCTTCCTTTCTCATGGTTTCTTCAGCCATTCCAACAAGATGTAATTTCAGTTGCTTCCCTCATTCTCCTGAGTCCTTGCTTGTGCACTCTTTCAGTTTTTCAGCAGCAGTCTTTCAAAGTCTGTTTTGCAGAACTCAACATACTCCTAATGCAGATGGATCATGACAAATGGGATGCTACAGTTGCTAGCTTTGTGTTCTTTGCCATAAAATAATTAAAGATGTTTATGATGGATGTCTCTAAACCATCTTCATAATGAATCTGACACACAAATTGTTTACTTGTGATCAATGAGCAAGTCTCTTGACTTGTGCTTTATCTTTCACTTCTATATTTTATCCCAGACTCTCCCCTCTCTCCTCCTAGGAGGAAGAAAATACCAATATTTTTAACTGTGTATATTTCATTTTTGATGTCCAGCATTTGCAATATAAGGGCCAGGGCTTCCTCCCTTCCTCAGTTTTATAAATTCTCAATCG